GAAGCAGACACTCGTATATTTCTATACACATATGATGCTGCCATAAATAGTGGACTCAAAAAGTCATGATCAGAACTGTAAATACTGATATTATTGTCAAACTGGTGGAAAAATTTATTATTTATACTTTAGATTATCTTTAAGTCAGAAAGGTATTTCATGTCATGAAAATAATTCTTATAAAAAATCATATGATCATAGTTTTCTAATTTTAAGTTTAGGACTTTTTCATAAGCTACATTTAGGAAAATTATGGGTAAGGTTTGGTACTGGCGAAAACCAACGCTTCATTTCACTGCACGTTTTTGTAAAATGTCTTGGTTCAAAATAGAAAAGTTTACCTCTATTTCACGCAATAACAGGTTTCAATCAAGTTTCATTTTTTGATGGAAAAAGGAAAAAATCCGTTTTTGGAAAACTTAAAGAAAATTTGAAGATCTCACGAACGCTATGCAATCAATTTCCAATTGTCCCTCAAAGGATGATTCTATCAGTATTTTCCACTTAATTGAAAGATTTGTTGTGCTACTATATGAACATACAAATTCTTAAAGTAGTGTAAATGAATGCAGAAAAGACTTATTTTCAAAAAAATAACGTTTACCAGACGCCATACCCCCTACGCAAGTTGCTTGGCAACTGCATATCTCTTGAGCTGTTTACCAGGTTTCGTATTGCTGGACACAATCATTGTGTAAAAATCCACTATTGCCTAATCCATGTGAGTAGAGTTGGATTATGGAAGGCAATATTTATGAAGTTGTTTGACGACAATTTCAGAAGCTTCAAAAATGTGCAGTGAACTTGTGATACGATATGGCTGCAATATTGAGAAAAGCTGTAGAGGTCTTTATTAATGTATAAAAGAATTACTTCTATGGATTGTACTTTGCAAATGTAATGGTGATTGTAAGCGTTAAATTCATAATTTACCAAATGTTTTAAATTTTTTTGTTTTAGTTTTTATAAAGGTTAAACTATATGTGTCATAGGAACATTTAATTGTAATTGAAAAATACGATTTGGTACAAAAATATTACGCTTTTACCCCCTGACTTATAGATTTTCAAAGCTTTGCCTCTCGTTACCGATTTATTTTTTAACATATTGTGCTTTTACATTTTTTGCTGCATTTTTAATGAGCTTTCGATTGATGTATAATTGACCGTTTTTTGAGAATTTTTTTTTTTGGTACGACATGATCCGGTCACCATGGAGCTATTTTAGAAATTGGTCTGAGTATTAAAATGATTATTTCAACATGTAGGCCAAGTTTCACGCTTTTACCCCAATTAGCACAAAAACATATAAATTTTTTTTACACATTTGTTTGCGTATTTTATTCTGCCCGAATGTCAGTGAAGAATGGAATAAATTTTTTTAATTAAATAATGTTTCGTATAATACTTAAAAAGAAAAAAATCCTTAACTATTTTATTTGACTCCATTTTACTCTTTTCAAAGCTAAAAAAAAAATAGCAACTAAAAAATTTAAATCTAATATAGCCAAATAAAAAGATATTATCAGTATCAAGTATTAAATGGTGTTAAAACTTAAATGCTGGATGATTTTAAAAAAATAACTGAAGTCATAACAATTAGCAACATGCTTTTTGACACCATTTGTTTAAGAATATTCGAATAGTTTTTTTTTAAAGCAATATTTAGATAAATATATAGATATTTATTTTCAAACCTAAAAAGAAAAGAAAAAAAAAATTGAATGTATTCTAGCAGGACGTATTAAACTTTTTTGGGGTCTTTTAAAAGAGCTTGATCAACGTCTTTCTGAAAACAAGGAAATTTTTCAAGATCTAATTTTTCTTCTCATTATCAAAGGTTCTAAACAGTATAATTCATTTGTCTACCTTTAAGTCATATTATAAAGAACAAAACACAAAACATTCAAGACTTAATTCAAATTTTTTTGTTTTGTTTTGAATTTTAAAACAGCTCTTCAGAGCTGTTTTAAAATTCTTATATCGTTATATTTAATTCTTATATTGTTATATAGTTATATCGTCAGTTGTATCTTAACGATACAACTGACGATACAACTAACGATACAACTGAATTGTGGACCATATATGGTCTACAACTCAAATTTTTTTATTTTCAAACTATAGTTTGAAATTAAAAAATGCATTATGAGATGCAGCATTTAATAATCTTGCAGATTATTGTCTTTCTTGTATTATTTTCTCTACATCAAACTCTTCTGCACTAAAGAGGTTTAATAAACCTGTTTGTTCTGTGCAATATTTTTTTTTCCAGGTCACATATATAACAAATAAACCTTAAACAAGGAGGTTTATTAAACCTCCTTGTTCTGCGCAATGTTTTTTTTTCCAGGTCACTTATATAACAAATAAATCTAGAAACCAAATATCGAAAAATTGTAAGCAGTGTAAGGCAAATAAAAGCATATTTATCTAGCTGTAACAAATCTTACAAAGACTTAAAAAACTAAATGTTAACTAAATGTTGACACAGGTGACACATTTTTTTATGTTTGAGAAAGCTACCTTACAGATATAGAGCAAACTCCAAAAATTTGTATATTTAAACTTATGTCAAATAAGGATGATTTGCAAAAAAATGTGGCAATTGGAGATCGGAAAAATGCTCAAAATTTTTCGCTTTCTGCACCAAATGTGAGAGCAACAAGTTGATTAAATCCTTTTTAATAATCACAACTAAATTTATATTCATTAAAAAATTTTTAATCTCTTATCTTCAAAATTTGTTACCCCTTTAATTTGAATAAAATAAACTCCTAATGAACAGAGGTGCTAAAGTACGTCAAAAAAAACAACAACAAAAAAACAACCAATAAAAGATTTTAATAGTTAGCGATAAGAAAACATTCAGTACTACATTTATGCCATATTATATCTGAATCATACCTAAAGCTTCTATTAGATTACGTTGCTTACGCAATTGGTGTAGTTTTCGTGGTGGGATGTTAGTGCGGTGGAATGGTGAACTAGCGGAAAGTGATACTAAAAAAATCTTGATTTTTGAGTAAAATATCAAAAAATTATTTTTGATTAATATTTTTCAAGATTTGTCTTTTATTTAATGTAATCCTCTTTTATTTAATGTAACCATCTTTTATTTAATGTTAGCATCTTTTATTTAATGTAACCCTCTTTTATTTAATGTAACCATCTTTTATTTAATGTAACCATCTTTATTTTTTATTAATTAAAGCATTTTAAAATTGGAATTTTTAAGAGTTATTGTCATACGCCTTAACAACAAAACTAGAACTGTAGAATATCTCTTTGACAATAATTGTGTACCAAATTTAATTTTTTTGTATTTTTAATTTGTGAATATTTCTGTGTATTGTATGTGTACTTTATTACTAAACGTTTTTGTTTGTCGATGTGTTAGATATTTTAATGATGTCAATCTTACTTTAAATACATCAACAAGAACTTTGTATTTATATGAAAATTTGAACTTTTGGGAAAGAAGAAGGAGGGGGGGGGCTCCGACCCACTAGTCACGGCACGGCTGGTACGTACGTTGTATATTTTTTGGTTGATTTAAATCCAAGCTAAATTTGATTAGCCTATATGATTTACCTAAATACATACATATAACATAATACAATTATCTATCTATCTATTATAGCATATAGATCAGCAATACTTTTATAGCATACAGCTTTTTCAGAAAAAGAAGAAAAAAAACGAAGAATATTAAAAAAAAAAATTGTTACCCCAGCCAAAACCCTTAGTGGATGTAGCAACACTCTTTTACCTAGGTGTAGATAAAAGTCGATAGTCGATGTAGTGAAGTCTACGGCAGCAGGCTTTTTCAGTATGACGTCAGACATGTCTATTATTGATTTGTTGTTAATGTCTTTTTATAAAAAAACCCTTATAAGCGCAAAAAACATTAAAAAATACAGATTATTAGGTTGAAATAAATATTGCCTATAATCGGTTTAAAATTAGTTTATCTCATCGTTTAAAAATAGAAAGATATAAAAACGGTCGAGAATTAAAACATCATAAATTGGGCGAAAATAAAAAATACACTATAATCGAAATACTCTATAATCGATTGAAAACAAGCCCTTAGTAGGACATCTGAAAATTATTAAAACTGATGATTTTTTAGAATTAAATTAATTCTACTTTTTAGTAGATGTTCTTTTTGTAGAACACATTAGTCGGTCGAGGTTTTAGTAGATTTAACTGTCTGACAAGTCTATGACGAGAGGTAATTTTTTAAAATAAAACATGAGTTTTCTGCTACGTATGTTTTAAAACTTAGTTGAAAATTCTTAAATTGGCGTCGTTTTTCCATAGTCATAATATCAGATAGTCCGGCCAGTTGGGCTGTTTTCGCAAGATTCCATTGTTTTTAAACAATAAAATTTAAAACTTTGAATTTATGTTGAAAATCGTTTATTTATCGTGCTCAGACTACCAATAAGTGCACAAAAATCTAAAAAATGTATATTATGACTATGGTTTTTCGTAATATCTTTTATAAAAATAAATTATATATAACGACGGCCACCAATTGGCTCTGTCTGTAGCCCCGCATAGTGTCAACGTACCATTATCAATTTATTTTCTTACAATGACAACAAAACAATTTAGAAATTTTAACTTCAATAAATTTATGGAAAAATAGTATTGTTAGTCGATTTAAAAATACAAAATTAAATACAAAAATTCAAGCCATAAATAAAGACCAAAAAATAAAATAGCGGGAACACCAAAAATTATTTACAAATACGCTTTTTTATTTTATGTTATAACTATTCTATGGTTAAATAAAAATAATTATCTGTCGTTTTCTATTTTTCTGTTAAAAAAAATTATTTAGCAAGTTACTAGAAGGTCTATACCACTAATATGTCAAAATACAACTTTTGCGACTAGTTGCTCATTAGTTTATATTGTAAAGTTAATTGGAACTCAAGCTATATATATAAATATATATATATATATATATATATATATATATATATATATATATATATATATATATTACATATATTTATCATAAACTGTAAACATAATAAGAATAATTAGCAAATGAAAAAGTAAAGATGAAAAACAGGCTGAATCAGAACAGGCTGAACTGGTGGAGCTTATAAATGGTTCAGTTTGTTTTATCATATAATCGTAGACTTCATTTTTATTTTGTTCTTTTAGACGAGGACCCATGATACGTCTTATATCACTGTAATAAACGTTCAACCAAGCTAACTAAAATTAGACAGAGAAAGTTTCTGGTATCTATTAAGAAGTAAATTTAAAAAAAATTAAGTAAAAGTTTTAACTTTTTTTTAAAGATAAAATATTACTTTTTTAACAACACATTTCAAAATAACACACTATACTTACCACATGAAAATATAAATAGATCAGGCATAATAAAATAAAACAGCCTTTACAAGTATATATACAAAATTAAATGAATTTGAAAAAAAAATTGCGGTACGTAATTTGAAAACAAAAATAAAAAAACCTCGTTTTTATTAAGCATTTCAGTGTTAATTAACTTGCGATCAAACGGAATCTAAAAAAATTTGTAATATTAAAGACAGTAAAAACATTTTATTTATATATATCAAATAATTTAAAATTAATTACCCATGTGAGAACGTCAAAGCCAAGAAAACTTCCATACTAAAAATTAGCAAGAAATGAGATCAACTTTATATTAAAAATAATAATAATAATAATATTAATAATAATAATAATAATAATAAAAATAAACCTTAAGTTTCTTTTCTTTAACAACTATAGCTGTTTCAAGACGAATTCCAAATTCACCAGGTTGATAGTAACCAGGTTCTATTAAAAAAACAAACAAATTATATAAATAATTTAAGAAACAGCGTTTTTCAAATTCAAGATATTTCAAATTCAAAAGATCAATCATACCCTATTATTGCTTTACACAACTTAATTTTTATTGAAAAACATGTATTTTAATGTAAAGATTGCTTGCCATAAGTACAATTCCAGGTTAGAGGTTAGCGAGCAATATTTTGTCTCTCAAGGCCTCTGCTTGTACAGAAGAACTTTTTTTAATAACAAGTTATTAAAAAAAATTTCTTGAACCAAATACCAACAATTACACTTTGTGTTATTTATGGAATTTTTCCAAAATTAAATTTTAAAGCAATCAAGGCAAACAATCAAGGCAAACAGAATAAAATTTGAAAGCTTAGAAAGATTAGACAGACAAAATAAAAAACAAATTTTAATTCTAGTTTTCATGCAATTTTTAATTAATGTGCATTTAGAACAAAAAAATCATCAGTTTTAAAAATGAAATTAAAAGTTAAGAACTTTTATTTTCACGATTAAATCTCTTTAATTAATTTTTATAACTAATAACTTCATTAAAAAAGTCATTTATCATAAAAAAGATTCAATTAAAAAGAAAGGTAAAACAATAAAAAACTGAAAAATTTATAGGTTAATTAGATGTTTTTCTTCAAACAGAAAGATAATGGAAAACTTTAAAATAAATAGATATTTGCAAAATCTTAATACAGTAAAGAGAACTGGAACTTGCATTGCCTGCCAAAAGACCGTTCAATGGGCAATAGATTGCGTTGCAGCCCATAAACGAACATCATGCCCAAACGCTAGTGAAGATGAAAAACGATTGTTTGCAAAACGAAAAGCCGAATCATCAAAATTCGGCTGCTGTTTTTACATTAAATCAAATACTTTCTGGGATAGTTTGGCAAAACTTATGAAAGATATCGAATATGAGCGCAAAGAATTATTGGAACATTGTTTGTCGTCAGAAATATCCAGCAGTCTTTGAAGTTGCAAAATCTATTGTTGAAATGAGTTTTTTTGTCAGCAACAGCAGAGAAAACTTGGTCGACTTTTCAATTTATTCATTCACGATTGAGAAATCGCTTGAAAAACGAACGCGTAAAAAAAATTAAGTTTTTATATATACCAATAGTGTTTTGATGGATTCAAATGACAAAAATGACTACATTTTAAAGGAAGGAGCTTTTCTCAGCGAGTTTGAGTGTAAAGACATAAAAGAACTATAAATGAATAGATGTAATACAAAAATAAATTATTTTGTTACGTTTCGTGTTAAAAATTTGTTTAAAATTCATGAAAATATTTTGAAATTTTTACTAATAAAATTAATTACAGAAAATCAAATGAAAAATTATTTTCTTTAATTTAAAGTCGCCTACGTTTGATTTAAAAAACATTTTCTTCTATACTTGACAATATTTAATTTATTTCACATACCATTTATCTGTTAAACTTGTTTGCACATCATATGCATAATATGCGCATAACTTTTGAATGGTATGATTTTGAATATATTCGCCGATATGCACATAAGTTCCAACACTACTTTTCCCCAATTATAACAACAAAAAAAAGCTACTTTTTTTTTTGTAAAAATTGTTTTTTTAACTTTACCTAAATTTTTTCTATGTTTTTATAATGTAGTGTAAAAACTAGACAAAAAAAAGACTTCTATTTTGGTGGTTGGCATGGTTATTAAAAATTAAAATTTGTATTTACAATTAAGTTGAAATTGATCACAATTAAATTCTTTTCATCTATTTTTTATAAATTCTCAAATAATAAACTTTTTTAAACAAAACTAATTATCTGAAAAGTCTTACCATCTGAAAACACCATTCCTTCTGAGAAAGGTACTTCACCATCTCTAGTTTTTCCACCAGATATTGATGAAGGACCTAAATTTAAGTAATCAAGTGTAAATTAAACTTAATACTGTTACTTTTTGTAACTTTCTTTTTTTTAAATGCCAAAAGATTTTATTTCATCTATAAAAAATTTAACCTTTAACAAAAGTTCAAATTATTTTTTTTTTATAAAACTAATATAGAATTGAATTGTTACTTCACTAATACATCTATGAAATATTTTAAAACTAATTTTAATCCACAATGAACAGTAATGGTATTATATGAATATAAAATTATCTATATGTATATATATATGAATATAAATACACATATTGCGACACAAGTACTTATTTATTCTCCATTTTAAAATGTGGGAAAAAATATTAAGTGATCTTATATAGGTAACAACTATTTATATAATAAATTTTAACAATAACTATGAAAAAAATTATTTGTTATTAAAGTATTTATAAGAAAAAAAGTTAAAAAAGTTAAAATCAAAAATTTTATTTTTAGATAAAAACGCGGAGAAGCTCTTTTAACATTTTAAAATGGAGTTGAAATAAACAAGCACTCAGGTCATGATATATATTTTTAATATGCATTTTACCTTCATGAATACTTAAAAAAGAACCAATTCCATGTCCTGTTCCATGAGTATAATCTAATCCTTGTTTCCATAGACTATCTCTAGCATATACTTCAATGTTAGTGCCTAATTTAAGTAACATATTATTTATTCATTTCTACTTTGTATAACAAAGTAATATTCAAATTAGCCATATCTAAAAGTTTGATACAAAAAATAAAGAGAGATGGAACTAACAAAAATAAAGCACAGAGAGACTAGTAAAAAGACCGTAAGTAAAGTTGTGTCCTCCTCCTATTTTTTTGAAAAAATTAAAAGAAAAAAAGAGTTAAAAAAAAAAAAAAACTCTGTAAATCCTAAAGCTCCAAAAATAGTCTTTTAAATAAAATAATATATATCATAATAAATATATTATATATAAAATAAAATAATATACAACAATAAAATAATTAAAAACATGAAAAAGTGTAGAACAAATATAAATATTTTAGAGTTAAATTAAATTTAAAAAATATATAAATATAAAATATAGAATATTTAGTTTTATAATTTATAGATAGATAAGTTTTAGATATAATAATTTATACATTTTATATAAGTCTTTTTTTTTTTTTCATGTTTTGTTATTTAGGTGCCCCAAAAAGACCTGACGGTCTTGTCACAGAGCACTGCGAAAGTGCATTTAACCAGGAAGTTCATGCCTCTTTCCTTACCATGACACAAAAATAATACCAGAGCACGTTTCGAACCTGGATCTTCTACTTATTAAGCAAGCGCTGTAATCACTGCGCCATGGCTGCACAATAATCATTTTATGCACAATAATCATTTTATTTCAACACAGATATATATATATATATATATATATATATATATATATATATATATATATATACATATATAACCTTTAGTATTGTATTTGAAAAAAAAGTTTCTTTTATTTACCATATGTAGTTTTTGGGAAAACAGCAGATGCTAATCCGATTGCGCCTTTTAAAACATGTGTAAACATCTCCTACAATTCATAAAAAAAAAGAAAAAAGATATAAACATTGATATTTTACATTACATTGATAGATTTGATATTCTCACCAAATAAAAAATTTCTAAACTTTTAACATTCTTAGTATAACTGGATCTTTTTCACAGTTTCCCAAGATTCCAGGAAAGTCCAGCAAAAACTATTTTGAGTTAACATGGCAACTACAGATATTGAATTAGAAATTAATAAGGTCATGAAGTCCTAACCAAACCACACAAGTGTGGAAACATTAAACTTATGAAATTAAAAAAAATAATACAATCCAAATATAGCTGCTGTAGGGTAAACAGACTGTAACAGATATTTAGATGAGTGTTTTTTAATAATATATAATTTTTTTTTTTCAGCCATAGAACAAAAGGATCAAAAACTGTATTGATTATCTGACAGTAAGTTATGACTCAAGATGAGATGTGAGAAATTTGTTGATCAAAAACTCAAAGACCTTGCTAAAAAAGACCAAAGACATTGCTAATAAAGACCAAAGACCTTGCTAAAAACAGAAAAAATGATCTTAGAGAGAACTGAAGAGAGTTCTAGAGAACACTTTTGTAAGACTATGACAGGAATGTTGTCTGGACCACAAGCCATAGAAAAGTTTAATTGAGGTATAAATTTAACAATGGAGTAATGCTGGAGTAATTTGAATGTCTAACAATGGGTTAACCTGTTTAATTGGAATGGAAGAAAGAGAATGGCCATAAGATTTAAGAGTCAAATTAGAAGAAAAGTTATTTGTAAATAATTCTTTTTTTTTTTATTTTTTTTATTTTAATTCACTTCCTCAGGGCCTAGAATGCCACTACAGACGAGGAGGCTACTTATTTGTGGTTATAACCCTCTCTCAACTCTATAACTCCGAAACACGAACCTTGACAAACAAGGCCGCTGCGCAGAGAAACAAGTTGAGCACGGTACTACCAGGGACGTGGTGAGGATCGAACTCGGAACCACTTATTTATGAAGCGAGCTCTCTACCACTACACCACTACCGCATTATGTTCTATTTTACCTTAAATAAGATCTGTTCCATGAATAAGAGATGGAATGTTAGATCTATCCTTGCCACGCTGTTGAAGATAATGCTGCTGAAGATTTCCCAAAAATCTCTGAAGCCTAACCTCTGAGATAAGGTATGAGATTTAGTGAACTGAGAATAATGGGGCTTAGAATCAGACAGCACCTTTTAACATCGATTTCTTGCAACAATATCTGTTTATTCTCAAGAGAGTTATTTTGAAAAAGATAAAAACAATGATTGTAATTAGACATGGCAGCCACACAAGAAGGTGAAAATCACGGAGTGAATAAGGCTTGACTTGCAATCAACCAGAAGGAATAAAAGCTTCAATTCCTGGCTGAATCCAGGTTATGTAGGAGGCGCATTTACAAGCTGAGAGAGAAAAGACATCAGCCCAAGAACTGCCACAAAAAAAATCACAAAACTAATTCTAGTCAGCTTTAGTAAATAGGGCGATGATAGGGTGAGTCCAAAAGGGAAGTATGAGATGAAAGATTTAAAGAGACCATTGAATGGTCAGAACCACCTAAAGGAGAAAAAGGAGAAACTGAACACAAGCTAGGATAAGAGACATGACATAAATCAAGGAGTGAAGGTAAATGATTAGGGTTGTCAGGAAAATGAGTCACAAAGTTAACTATATGAGTAAGAGAAAGTCACCAAAAGAGCTATTACAGAGTTTGGTAAACCTTACTACCAGCTATCCTCAGTACTATTAAACTAAGTTTTAGAGCTGTAAACTCATTTGAAAAAACAGGAGGAGTTGTATAGCCATTATCCAGGAGGCACAAGCAAAAATCTATGAGTAGAGTCAATAAAATTCAGCATTCATAATCGTAGGCAGTGAACAATGTAACACAGGTTTACATAAGTGTATATCGTCGGGGATAGTGCAAATCCGCGTAACTAGGATAACATTGGCTACTATATTTGGATATTATTAATTTTAATACCAAATATTTATTGTTGAGATTACAAAAAACATGAATAATTCTCTTTGTACTAAAATGAACCCAAAATCAGTTAAAATAAAAAATAAATAAAGTTTTAAACTTCTCCAGTAAAAAAATGTACTGCAGATACACGGTATTATAAAATGCTAGTTACGCGGTTTTGCACTATCCCCGACGATATGTATATATTATTATGGTTCAATAAAAAATAAATGAACATAATTACTGGTTTTCCTCAAAGAATTAACTCACTGTTTAAGTGAAATTCAATGAGACTCACTCAATCCCAAATAAGTATTTTTAAACATTATGATATCCAGTAAATTATCATGGATACATTGTTTTTGGTTAACTCAAAGGTCACTGTGGATAAAACAATAGAAAAAAAAAAAAATCTTTGATAGAAAAGCACATCCAAACAAGTGCACATGTATTTTTTGTTAAATTTTGAGGTTTGTCTATATTTATTGTTGCACAAAAATCCACATAAAAAACTTTTCTGTTTTAAATTTCCCCTTTAGTTTAGTTTTAGGTTAGCAATTTTTTAAATTTGATAAAATATACTTGCACATTAAATAAAAAATGTTTTCAATTTACCTGAAAAATTGAGCAGTTTTTCAGATAACTTGAGATCTTTTCCGTTGAAAAATTTTTTCGAAAATTTTGTAGTATTGAACATTTTTTGTAAAAAAAAGCAGAACATTTTTTGGGGATATTGTTGATAATTATAGCAATTATAATAACTATATTAATTATAGTAATTGCCTATGAACATACATGTATGTGCAGACTATACTAATTACAGTATAATTACATGGAGTTAATTGTTTACAGTTAAAACTTACATTTCCGGTTTAAAAATGTTATTTTGTCAGTAGAAACACATACTATTTTATACAGTATTTTTTACTTTTTATTCACAACTTATTTTCAAGTTTAAAAGTTATTTACTCACTTTATGCTTCTCGGTTGGAGTTCCCAGATGAATGGTTCTTGTTATATCTGTCGAGCCATCACTAATAATTTAATATTTTAGAAAATACATAACTCATATCAACCACTATTAACATAAATACAAAAGAATAATAACTCTAATCATTATATGCTAATGAAAAAGTTACGTAAAAGTATTTCAAACAAACAAAAATCACTAAACCAAATGTCTAAATTTAGGTTTTGACCACCCTAAGTTTATGGTTAGAGAGTGGTTACAGTTTAATTACTGCATTCGCTCTTTAACTACAAATAAATACAAAAATATGAAAATCTATATACAATAAATACAAAATGTAAATACTGTTTAAGATTATTATTATTATTTTTTTATTATTCATTTAAAAAAAAAGTATACAATGCTGTGTTATATAAATAAAATCTACATGACCGTGGCTAAAAGAAGACAATATTTGCCTTATCACTACACCCCGAAGATTATGTTATCATTATTGAAAAGAAATTTTTATTAAATATTTTTATTCATATAAAACTTACTAAAAATGAGCTCCAGAGTCAAGTAGGTACAAAGAGTCAGATTTGATTGGAATATTTGTTTCAACTTCTGACCTAAAATATTAAATTTATTTAATACTTAATTAAATTTATTATTTAAACTATTAAATTACATATATGTATATATATCTATAAATATATATACATACATGTAATAATAAAATTATATACATATATGTATATAATAAAACTATACATATATGCATATAATAAAACTATAAATACATACATAAATAAATATATATATATATATATATATATATATATATATATATATATATATATATATATATATATATATATATATATATATATATATATATATATATATACATGTCTTCCTACAACACTGGTGATTAGACAACAATTATTATATCTAATTTTTTCTTTTGTTAGATCTAACATTGCTATAGAAATGTCAGAACTTGTTTCATTATATTTGTAACATTTTAAACGCTTTTTTTTTATTTTTGAACTTATATTTTATTAATGATGATTTGGTATGAAACTTCAAGTTTTCTTAATTGTTGTTTTTGTCATTATAGTTATTTAAAACTTTAAAAATTTAAATTAAATTTCTGAGCAATTGAGCACTTTTTTACAATCAAAAATTTTGTTACATTAACAATAAATATAGGGGAGAGTGGTACACCATGATTAACTTTAGTACCATGGTGCCTCAATAAAAAACTAATAAATTTACTGTAAATATTAAAAATCATTTTCAGAATTGTTTATGACACAATCGAGTACTGTTCAACAGCTTTAGGGCTACAAGTGAAGTACCAAGTCATACTTGGTAATGGAAAACAATCACTTTTTATTTTGAATATCAACTTGCTTTTTTAATGATTTTGTAAGTAAAGAGCCCATGGACTTTAGGTTATAAAACAATGTTACTTACCAATAAACACGTTGAATAAGATACCATAAAACTAATGAACTTTAAAAACTAATTAATTACTTTTTCATAAAAAAAAACAACAACAAATTTTGACCAAATGATGTCAAATGATATAATTTTTTTTTGTCAAAGCATAGCCCTAGTTGTAACTGTTTAACCATATGAGAGTGGTTGTTACAACTCTTAAGTTAAATGTTTTAAGTAATACATAAGCCTCCACAATTACTATGTTTCATGGTGCCCCACTCATCCCTATATATATATATATATATATATATATATATATATATATATATATATATATATATATATATATATATATATATATATATACACATGTATATAAAAATACATACAGTAGAATCTCAATAACTCGGACTCTTAAGGGTTATATATAAATTGTCCAACTTAGCGAACGTCAGAGTTAGGCAAAGCTCTTGTTTTATCTGACATTTTAAAAATTCTGGTTTATTGAAATTATATTATGTATTTGAGATAGTATCATAATATATTGTATTTTTTTCTTTCATCCACCATCCAGACAAGATTTGATTTGGCATAGATACAAATGATTCTCCTCTGTCAAGTTCTTAGTATTATGTATTTTTCTGTTCTACTTGTTAGCTTTCTTTTAGCAACCTTCTACATTTTTAGTAAATAAAACTTAATCTAAAATTAACCAAATTGAAGATATTAGTGAAAATGTTTAGTTTGTTTAATTATAATTGACGCAAAGGTAATTTTGGAACATTCTAAGTTTTGAATTTTAATTGATGATTTTGAATTTTTAATATAACAGTCATTATTAAATAGAACTTAATCAAAGCTTAACCAAATTAAAAACATCAGTGAAAATGTTGTGTTTAATTATATTTGACACAAAGGTATTTTATTTTTGAACAATCAAAATTTGGAGTTTTTATTGAAGTATTGAAAGTTTTGTTATTATATGAATTCAAAATTTTTGAAGTCTTGGTTTAGCAAAGGGACCCTAAAAAACAATACGAGTTAGCGAATGGTCCCACCTAACCAGGGTAAAGAGGATTATTTTACAGTAAGTAGTAGTAGATAAAGAATATATATATATGTATATATATACATATATATATATATATATATATATATATATATATATATATATATATATATATATATATATATATATATATATATATATATATATATATATATATATATATATATATATATATATATATATATATATATATATATAAAAGACTAGGTCAGCCCAAAGTCGACAAACTATGTCTCTATAACCATCGTCAAGTCGACAATTTTCATAAGTCGACAAATTTCCTGTCGACTTTACGTTTGAATGAATTTCAGTAACGATTAGTTCAATGGAAATTTAAAAAAAAAGAAACCATTGTAATGTCTAAATTATACTCAAGAGATTTCTATGAAAAACATTAACAAAAAAAAAACGCGGAAAACTATAAACAATAATATTTTTTAAAAGCGAGTATATTTACTAGTGTTACATATACGATCAATCAGGCCTTGTGATGAATAAAAACTGCGTGACGCATAAGCACGACGTGATTTTTGACGTCATTAAATTCTTTTTATTTACTTTTCATATTTAGCGACATTAACTGCATTAATTCACTTAATTACCGCAAAACTACTTCAAATCATTAATGTAGAAATGTTATTATTTAAAAATGTTTTGGAATGTTTCGTTTTTTAAAATGTAAAAACATTTGTTTATTTTCTCGACGTTGGTCACGTTTTGTCTATATTAAACGAATATAAAACATTATAACTAAACATTTAAAAAAGATTATAAATGCTGATATTTGATTTTTTTTCTTCTCAAATATGTAATTTAAAGTTTATCAAATAATTATTTTTTCTTTTTAAAAAGTCAGCGAGTAATAAACTGAAAATTTTAATATTGTACGACTAAAAACTGTGCAATAGCTAATATTTCTACCAGCGATTTTATATAATATTTTTTTATTTATTTATTTTTATTTATTTTCATAAAGCGGTTAATAAGCACAATCACTCGTATTACTAAAAAACTTTAACAAACGTTTTGAATAGATTTTTAATGTTTACAAGGAATTTTATTTCTAGTAAAATAAAATAAAACAAAATGTTAGAATAAAAATCTTTGCGCAAATAAAATATTTTTATTTGCGCTTACCATTTTTAAAAATATTTCCTCGAAATTACTCTTAAATACTTTAAATTTGTCTCACAGTTAATAAATATTTTTAAATTTGTGGAATAATTTTAAAACATAACAAACCCACGTAAAATAATTATTTAAGTTAAAAATCTAAAACTAAAAGAAAGTATTTTTGTTAATTTTATCGACAACTTTGCTATTGCTGAATAATTTATTAAAATGTTAGCTTAAAAAGATTTAAACTTTTTTTTTAATCTGAACTTTTTTTACTTGTAAATAATGAGCATATTTAATTTTTTTGTAATTCAAACTTTTATATCAACTGCGTGCAGTTTTTAAAATACTTTATTAAATGTTAAAATAATCGTAAATTAATTCATTAAAATTCCGCTCAAAAATATCTTTAAATATACTCAAACAAAAATTTTTTTGCTTGACGTAAATAGCCCTAGCTACACGCAAAATCGCTCTTGGACGACGTAAAATTCACATCGCTCGACGCTTTATCGCAAGACCTGATCAATAGTTCGATAGTTAAGAGATTGCATTTTTTGTTTGAAATATAAAGATATATTTATTATAATTTTTGTTTAAAATATAGATAAACTATTTAGTTAAAATAATTTACGACCAGTTTAAAAAAAAAATTAACATTTAGACATTATATAATATGTTTTTTTTTCAACTATAAGTAGACTTATTCTACTTGTAAATCTTGCGTCAAGTCAACAATAATAAATATATAGACTTGTATTTTAATATTTCTATGTTTTTATAAATTTTTTTAATATAAATATATGTAAAAATAACAAATAAACTTTAAAATATACGTATAAAATTTATTTTATACTATTTCTACGACGTCAAGTTGAAATATATGTGCATGCGTTAAAATCGCTAAGTCGACAAATTTTCTATTTCTTTTGCTTAATTGGCGCTTAATTGATCACTTAAATTTTTTTTCTATAAAAATTCTTAATCTACGCAACATCTGTTAGTGAAAAATGAATTAAAAAAGAAAATTTTTTATGTCGACTTAAGGTGTAAAAAATAATCGCTGTCGACTTTGAATAGACCCAGGCTTATATATATATATATATATATATATATATATATATATATATATATATATATATATATATATATATATATATATATATATATATAGAGAGAGAGAGAGAGAGAGAGAGAGAGAGAGAGAGAGAGAGAGAGATGTTTGTGTGTATATTAAAAAACTTGAAAAAAATCATGTCAACAAATTTAAAACAAAATAATTACTTGTAATGAATAATGGCACCATGTGGTCCGTAAGCTGAAGTAGTAGCAAAGCTCAAATCATAGTATTTATCTTGTTTGCTAACAATACAAATATTTCAATATATACATATTTTATAATTCACACAAATATACAAATTAACAACACATAAAAACAGGTAACAACTTACTAATAATAATACACATGTAATAACTAATACAGATAAGATTTCTAAATAAAAGTTTAATAAACAGGAGCAAATATACAAAAATAAAAATGAAAACACCTTTTAAAATAACGAAGTTGATCAGCACCAGACATTTCTGTAACATCTTCCCCTTTAGAAACCTACAAAGAGTAATTATTAAATGAGATATAAATAACAATATAAATGAATGTGTTAATAAAATTAAAAAAAAAATTTAGTATTAAAATCAATAAGTTTATAATATTTAACTTTACACCACACTGCATGCTGGGTAACTACAATTTGAAAGTAAAAACTGTTAGCTATTAAAAGTTAAGAATTAGGAATCTAGCGCCATATATTAAAATCTGGGATTTTAAAAATACATTTTCCTAGTTCAGGAATCTGAATTAATTCAGTGATTTTCAAAAAGATATTATTGAAAGATATTGTTACATTATACAATTACATTATACAACTATAAACAAAATAACAGAATGTCTTTAAAATCATTATTTTATTTTAGAAAAATCTTTTTTTAAACAAAAAATAGACTTTGAAGAAGCACATCTGTAGTCACATTTATTTTAGTCTTGTTTTTTTTTTTTTTTTTAAGCTCATGCAAACTTTTTAGTTTTAATTGAAAATTTAATTGAGTCAATATCCAGAGCATTCCACTTGCAACCTTATTATAAATACAAAATATATAAACTTTAAAATCGAATTACCTGTTTCTCCAGCCAAACAAAGTACTCCATAATAGCAATACCATCTTTTATCTAAAAACAGCACATATGTATGTATGTTATATCTACGTTATGTATGTATGTATATATGTATTTAGGTATAAATGTATATATAAAATGTATAATATAAATATATAAGGATTTTGTACACTTTATAACTCAATTTAAATAGCATTTTCCCTTTACACAAAATAATTAATAACAATTTAAAGAAAAAAAGTGTATTAATAACTAATTTTGGGGTGCTGTAACACCTACAACTTAATAGTAAAATTTTTGACGAACTTTATGAAACAATTTTTAACTAACAACTGTTAGATCTTTTATATCCAAAAAATACTCTTTTGTTTCATCTGAGAGAAATTATTCCAAAATAAATAAAAAATGAAAGTAAGTAAATCATCTTTAAAAATATTTTTTTAAATATTTAACAATTGAACTTACATTAGCAGACCTCATTCCTTCAAGTTCAACTGCATTTTTCTTTGCTTTAGGCAATTGAATAGGTGAATCTTTAACAAATTGAAGTTCCTGGACATTATTTAATATTGATAATTAAATGTATTTGTAAAAACTAATATTAATAATAATAATAATAATAATAATACTAATAATAATAATAATAATAGTAATAATGATATACAAACACATATTATTATTATTCTTTTTTTTTTTACAAATACATTTAATTATCAGTCATTATCCACATGCAATAGTTAAACCAATAACTTAACAAAGTAAAATAATAAAGTAATTTATAGCTAACTTACTCCAGGAATGTTAGAAGCAATAAACATAGATGTATCTGGAGTTATCTAAAATTTTATAAGTAAAAACTTAGATCAATCAGAAAGACAAATTAATACATCAAAAATAAAAAGCTCGAGATTGGCCACAAAAAACTTACCCATATGCTATCATTGTTTTCCCTCGCCAGTTCGTTTATATATTTACATATTTCTGCATAATCATAATCAGCAATTGTTACACAGTGAGATGCATTTGTGCACAAATTATTTTTTATATTGCTAGACAACTTTTGATTAGCCACAAACAGCCTAAAATTTTTTTCAAAAAAGTAAAAACCCTTGAACAAATAGCTATTAATACATACTAAATATATCAATATGTAAATATATAATAGTGTTGTAAACAGAACTTTTATAGTTGAATACATACAAACAGCTGCTTGTATGTATTCAACTATAAAAGTTTGTTGGGAAGTATCTAAAAGCATAACAAGGTTAATGGTTAACTCGTCTATGTTCATATCAGAGTAGCATTTGTCATTGATTAAGGTAGTTGAGCTTTTATCGAGAAGGTGAATAGAAAGTGGTTTAGAATTTTTTATTGTTAAATCCAAATAAATATTGCAATGTTTGATTTTGTTTACCTTGCAAAACCTCATTGAGATATACAATTATTAAATCAAACTGTGCAAAGAAAATGTATTTTTTACTATTTCACTTGACACTTAATCCCCAAAGCATCTAAATCTTTACTAACATTTTTGTCTTTATAAAAAATATCAGTTTTGAAAAAAAATTCTGCACCTCAAAACAATCTTATCAATCAATCTCAAATCAAACTAAGAATCATGTATTGCATTTCAATGCGACCACGTGATTGTTTCTAAGTGTTTCTTGCAAATGTTAGAAAAATCACAATATTGCAGCCTTGTTTGTCAAGGTTCGTGTTTCGGAGTTATAGAGTTGAGAGAGGGTTATAACCACAAATAAGTGGCCTCCTCGTCTGTAGTGGCCTTCTCGGCCTTGAGGAAGTGAATAAAGAAAAAAAAAAAAAAAAAAAATTAATTGATAGAATATTTAATGATTTAGTCAAAAAACTGTGCGCTTGTTTTCAAATCAGATTGTTACTAGATATAGAAGATCAAAGTCTTGATGAAGTATTGTTAGAAATTTAAATATTGAAAAAAATAAAAGAACATTTAAATATTGAAAAAACAAAATAACATATCTATTTGTCATAAAGTTTATTTAGTGGCAGGAAGAATAGCCATTTATTTTTAGTACACAAAATTACAACATTTAAATTTTTAATTATCATTCTGTGCAAGCTAACTCTGTGTTAAAGTCAAAATTTAACAAGTGACATTGCATATCATGAGTGACATTGCACTTGATTTTCTATCAATACGCTATTTCTGTTGAAAAAACCAGTTTTAAAATTTTTAATTGAAAAAAAATATATATATAGTATAGTTAGTTAGATTTTACATTAGTTATTACTTTATAATATTAATTATATTCACTAATTATTAGATATTCTCTATATTATTAGATAGATTTAGTTAGATTCTTCATGTTATTACTTAAAGTTATTTTACTATCATTTAGTCAGACTTAGTTCATTAAATGTAGGTAACTGTATGGATTGTTACCAGCAAATAACAAAAAAAAACAACCTGGTGTATTCTGAAAAAAATAACCTGCAAAAATATTTTCATCTAGCATATTTGATAACATTCACGTATGAATTACAGCAGTAAAATATTTTCAACTAAAATATTTTTTTGATTCTCAAAGTTTATTGAGCTAATATAAACATGATTATTTTTAAAAGTTAAAATTAGGAAGAATTAAAATTAAAAAAAATACATTAATAAAATTTGCATTTTTTAATTTCTGTTGAGTAGACACAGACTTTATTAATTAGTTAGTCAATTTTCTGACTGGTCAATTGACTAATCAACATTATGTACTAACAAACCATCCATATGCTTTAAAATAATTTTTTTACAACAAACCTTACTAGTTAGTTAAATTCCTTATACTATTAATTATGGTATTATATTATCTATATTACTAGATAGATATTCTCTATATTATTAGATAGATATAGTTCGATTAAAGCTGGTTAGCCTATCTACCTTGTAAAAATGTGTTTCAATTTTTAACGCTATTTTGACATTATGAAAGAGTTAAAGCAACTTTAAACCAATTTCTAAATAAGAACTGAGTATTTTTATTGTGATATTATCAGTTAAATTACTATTCAAGGTTTACAAGCTCCTTTTAGTACCATATATCAATTTTGATATGCCAAACATTTTTTTAGTTATTAAAGTATTTCAATAAGACCTAATGGTCTTATCACAGAGCATTATAAAGAAGCATTTAACCAGGAAGCTCACATCTCATTTTAATTTCAGCGAAGTAGCCATAGTCTTTCTTAATTAGTCAGCCATACTCAGATTTCTAGCTGGTCAATTGACTTGATAAAAAGGGAACATAAAATATTAGAAATTTTAAAAATAATTTGGTTTTATTATAATTTTAAACTTATATCTAATTTGTTTCATTATTATTTTACCTATCTTTACTAAACTTCTAGAGTATCTAATCCTACGAATATGTCCTAGTATAACAGATAGCCGCTCCCATCATTTTGGTTTTAAAAAAAACAGTTCTACACTCCACGCAAAATTTTTACTGAGCAAAACTGTTAAGCACTATAAAAACAATAACACGCCTATATATATGTGCAGTTTAGATGCTAATAAAGCTTTTGATACTTGCAACTGGGATTTGCTATTTGAGAAGCTGTATTTCCAAAAAAAACTTCCATTGTCTGTAGTACACACAATATCACCCCTTTATCATTCTGGTTCTGCAAACATATCCTATCAAGGTGTTACCTCAAATCAATTCAGTCTATCACAAGGGGTGCGACAAGGGTCTATTCTATCGCCGCATTTATATAACATTTATACTGAAAGCATCCTAAATGAAATTGTCTCAGAATGTAAAGTAGGATCGACAATAAATGGAATTTATACTGGTGTAATTGCATACGCAGATGATGTAATTTTGCTAAGCCCCACAATCTCTGGTCTGTAGGAACTGATTAACAGATTTCAAACATATGGAGTAGCAAACTTTATCAAGCTAAACACTAAGAAAACAGAATTTCTGATTTCTGGAAAAAGTTATATTCCTAACAACGTTGTTAAAATTAATGGAGTTTCTATATATCTTCAAAATAAATTAAAACATCTGGGTTTCCAATGGGATAACGATACCAGCAAAAATAAAATTGCAACACTCCGAAAAAAAAATTTAAATGAGCGTATAACTCAATTTCAATCAGTTGCAAAAGCTCTAATTGACAGTGGGATTCGTTACTGCCAGCCATCAACAATTGTTCATCTGTACAATACATTAACAATGCCGAAGCTTATATATGGCCTTGAACTATGTAAATATGATACTCCATAGGATTTATTCTCCATAGGAACAAAGTTAATCTTTTTATCAGGCTGCTGAAAAATCAAACTTGTTACTCACTGATAATTAATCAAATACAGGAAACACAGAATAAAAAAGCCTTTACAAACGAAGTATTTGATGCATGCAACAAACTTGATTTAAATTTCATACAGTGCATGTTAAATGGCAAAAAAATTAAATTGACGCAACCCATCGTAGAGCTACAAACTAATGTTATGCTAATATTGAAAGAAACGTTCCAGTTTTGGAATTTGAAAGAAAAGAGAGAGGCGTTTAAAATCTTGATGGAGGAGAATGTTCCTAGAACTCTGTCCCAATAATATGTGGAAAACAAACCGGCTGTTTATAAGCATTTATTGCTAACAACTACAAGAGCCGTGTTGTTTTAGCTGATTTTTAATTTATTGTTTGACTATTTAAATATTATTTTACCTGTAATTTACTACCGGGTGATAAAGAGAAAATATAAATAAATAAATTATAAATAAAAAATAATTTTTACTAAATAAACTTACGTTGCATTTTTTTGAGTGACAACTGCATATGAATAAAACATAGGATTATAAGGTATATCTTTCCCTCGAAGATTGAACAACCCTGAATTTTTTTTAAAAATGAAGCATTTAAAACATATTAAAAAGAAAAAGAAAGAAAATCCGAGAAAGAATGACAAAAAAAAAAAAAAAAAAATTCTTCTTACAAGCTACATCATCTAAAGCTGTAATAACAATAGCTTTTACTTTATTGGCATCCAATTCTTGGCGTAGATCTGTTAATTTATTCTGATATGACTTTCCTTTTAAATTTAAATATTGATATTATTATAACTGTTTATTTACATACCTAAGAAAATTATATATAAAAAGCCAAATTTTTAAAAAGTAATTAAAAATAATCAAAACAAGTTTGGCACCAATATAAATTAAAATGGCACCAATATAAATTAAAATGGCACCAATATAAATTAAAATGACACCAATATAAATAAGATTCAACAATTTTTATTTAACTTGACCCAAGGATGGTTACTGTAATTACTGTACACTACTGCATTATGTCAAAACTATAAAATAATACTTCAAATTGCATCAAATGAAGTTATTACTCCAGATGCAAGAACAAATAAAATTTATCAAGTTTGCACTTTTACATACTTTCCTTTTAAGGAAACTAAAATTTCAATTTTCCAAAAAGCTTTAAACATAATAGAAACAAAAAGTGTTTACAACATAAGTGTTCACAAAGTGTTCATAACATAAGTGTTTAAAACATAAGCATAATGTTACAATATTTACTTTAGTAAAATTTAAACTTTTTTTTGCACACTATGGTCATATTGATAGCTAATAATGTAATAGTTACTAGCAATTGCTTGTTTTATGTCAAAAATAAATCATAGAAATTCGATTTTACTGCATATCTTAAGATTCAAACTAAAACATAATCTGGTGTGGATTATCATGTATATAACATTAGTAACCATTGGAAACAAAACATCTAGTATATAAACATTTTAAAGACAACAAGGATAACTTTACAATCTAGCATTTATAAGCATTTAAATTTAACTGTTAATTGTAAAAAAATGTAAACTTTTTGATGCTGCATCTACCAAAAAAATTATGAAAGAAAAAGCGCTTCATATAAAATGAAAAAAATCCCGTTTTAAATAAATAAAAATCTCATTAAATTATAAATTTGTTAAGCTAGTTTAATTTATTGTTGTTATTGCTTTTTTTTGGCTATTTATTATCATAATTTTCAACACAACTTTAAAAGTTTGACCGCTGACCCAGTTAATCAACCTATCAGTCTCACCACTGTTACATGCAAACTAATAGAAAATATAGTTAGGCAAGCTATTTTAGCCCACCTAGTTGACAGCAATTTAATTACACAAGAACAGCATGGTTTTGTTCCCCGTAAGTCATGCCCTACAAACTGCCTTGAAACTATGGACTATTTAACAAAAGTATCAAAGCGTCTGTAGACTTGCTCTTCCTTGACTTTGCCACCATATGAGTCTAATCCTGAAACTAGAAGGGTATGGTATCAATGGTCAAATTCTAAAATGTGTCAAATTCTAAATCCTTTATAAGCGACAGTACACAAAGAGTATTATGAATTATGATTAAAACAGTGGACTGGGTGCCAGTTTCTAGCAGTGAAGGTCAGTATTGGGACCTATGCTCTTTGTAATCTTTATAAATGACCTGCTGAATAGAATTGAAAAAACAGAATGATTGTAATGTACTCCAAAATGACGTTGATGCTATAACTGAGTGGACAAGAATATGCCATATGAGGCTAAACATCTATAAAGCAAAGTTCTTCACATCAGTTGCCTGAATTAAAAGCACACCTATACAATGGTTGAAGTTGATAAATTGACTCTACTAAATTTGGAATCAACATAATTTGAACGTGATATAAGAATCTTAGTTAATAACAACCTTAAACAAAATGCCTAGGTATGTACTGCTGTCTCTAAGGCCAACAAGGTCTTTAGCATACTTAAAAGAACAATTTTTGCACAATGTAGCGTTATAGTTAAAATTATATACAATGTATGTGCATTCTTATCTCTGCCTCAAATTTGAACCCACATACAATTTAAGATATAAATATCTTAGAGAGTCCAAAGATGCGCCACTAAGATAGCTCATAGTATAAAACATCTACCTTATGAAAATAGACTAAGCATTTTAGAACTGATTATGCTCATATAAAGATGTCATCATAAAGACTTTATACAGCTTTTAAAAATTAAAATCTGGCAAAAAAACTGTTAACTGGCATTTTTTTTATTTTAATACCATATACTTATATATATAAATTAATTATTCTTTTTTTAAAATTTTTGAATTTAGATATTTATTATCTTTTACTTATTTTTATTAAAAAATAAATAAATGTATAAAGAAAATTCAATAGAAAAAAGAAATTAATTAATTTGGTTAACTTTATATTTGTGTAAAAAATTTTTTTTACCAACAAAGATTATGTAATATAATTTTTACCAGCATAGGATAAAGTTATGAAATAAAATTTTTACCAGCATAGGTGATGTTATGAATGAAGATTGATTCGTTTGTTGGAGAGGGTCGATTTTTCCAAACTTCATCAACTAGGTTTTTATTAATAGTCTTCCATTTCACTAAGTTATCAAATGACTAAATAAAAAATATAAAATATAGCACAATTATATTTCTAGTCATTAAAGTTTTTCTTAGTATTTTAAAAAGTAAAAAAAAAGTATTTTGCGTCAGTATAAATGGTTTCTGTTTTTTTTTTTTAAAATAACTATTGTAACCTTATAAAATCAGAAAAATTTATTTTATTGGAAAAAGTTATTTTTTAAACATCTTTTGTTTCTCATGTTTTTATTTTTGGTTGTTTTAGTTTTGTTACTTTTTTTCATTAACTTATGCATTTTACGCAGCTCTTTTTAGCCTCAATTTTAGATGGAGAAAAAATAAAGATAAAAATAAAGATAAAAAATATAAATTAAAGAGATAAAATAAAATAAATGTAAAGAAGAATATCAATAGTTGCATATTGTTAGATGTTTTTTTTTTTTGAATTAATAAATAAAAATTATTTTTTGACATTGATCATCCTTATCTAGTGTCCCTAAATAGAGAACCGATAATGAAAATACTTTCTTCAGGAATTTATTTTGATTTAAAAAAGTAATTTGTTTGCTTTTATAATATAAAAAACCAGGTTGTTTGCTAAACTTTGCTAAAATGTGAATTGATTTTGTTGAGATGTTGTCCTTGCAAGCCAATTGGTGTACTGTTATGATGAAACACATAAAATCTGTTTATAGTTAATGTTGTCATAAAATGTGTAAATTTTAATTAGATAACACATTTTAATATTTCTTATAGGCAGATTAGTTGTTGCAACAATATTATAAAAGGCTGCCCCAATAGTAACAGGAGCGGATCTGCTAAAATAAATATGTATCTGCTATAATAAATACGTGATTTTTAGTTTTTAAGTTTGATAAACATGCATTTCAATGTATGTCAATAAATTTTATGTCAATAAGTAAATTGTCAATAAATTTCATGACAATTCATTTATGTCAATAAATAAATTGAAATGAACGAATACTTGTAATATTCGTTCATTTCAATGAACAAACATTACAAATAATGTTGTATTTTAAATGTTATATTTGTAATAGTTTCAAGTATTTTTATCTGTCATATGATATGGAAATGTTTTTTTATCAGGGCTGTGAAGTCGGAGTTGCAGAGTTGCAACATTTTTAGCGGAGTCGGAGTCGCTAAACAAAATCGCAACTCCAACTCCAATAGTAAAATTTCTCAGTATTACACGTGCATGTACAAAACATCAAATTAACCTTTTTTTCATACTAAACCTAAAAGAACATTTCATAGATTTGTCAAAAAAGAAATTTTTAACTTACCACGTAATTTTTTTAAAAGAATTCAAAGAAATTATCAAAAATTTTGCTTAGGAGTTAGAGTAGGAGTTGGAGTCGGAGTTATGCTTAAAAAACTTCAACAACTGGAGTCGGAGTCGGAGTTGTACACAAAAAACTTCAATAACTGGAGTCGGAGTCGTTACGACTTTTTTACGACTCCACACCCCTGGTTTTTATTATGCTAATGTGTTAAATTAGATTATATGGATCTCTATTTTGTAAATATTTATGTAGGTGTTTCTATGTTGTGCTGTTAGTAGTTAAAATATGTAAAATAAACTCTGGATAACTTGATAACCCTTGATAAACTTAAACTAATTTTGAAATTCAAGTTTTAAGCCTTTATTTATGGAACTTTAACATTCTCTAAGAAGCTAATTTCTTGGTCCTTTGGGGGTTTGAGAGTTTACTGTAATATGTTATGCTATTTGTTAATTTTGGATGCTATTGTTGTAATGTTTTGTGATGATAGACAACCTTGCTTTTCTTCATGTTGGTGTTTATTGTTAAAAATGATTATTGAGTCATTTCATTACTGAAACTTTTTTCTTTATTTTATTTTTTTAACTTTCATTACTGAATTTTTAAAAGTTATTGTCAAAACCAATTTTTGGTTTTTGATTGCTTAAGTTTTTGATTGGCTCTCAGGATTTGAATTGCTAAAGTAAGTTTCTTATTTGTTATAAATAAAACAGATTAATTAAAGGATTTTTTTAAAAAGTTTTTTTACAGAAAAGTTTCTATAAAAAATTTCAAACAGATAGTGCTAACTTATTTGACATAACTAGTACCCGTGTCCCATTTTTTGTGTCCCTTTCTGTAAGAGAGAGTTAAAAAATTTATAAAAAATTTCAATATAACCTCAAGTTTCCAAGCACATTGGGAGAAACGCTACGCAACTGTCATCTATGTTAAAGATACTTTAGTTATGTAAAAAATATTGAAATTAGTATTGTAAATTGTTAACTAAAAGCCAAAAATTTTAAATCTATTAATTTTTTCCTGTTTACTATAAATTATTCAAGTAAAGAGGCCAAATTAAGAACAAGTTGATATATAATAGGGTGGGGTAGCTACCATGAACCATATTGTATCATAAATTATTGTAATTTTTGTTTCAAATGTTTATCAATGTTTTTATTTTATTTAAAGAAAAGCATGTATTGTTTCTAATATAAAATGGTGCTTTTTTTTTTTTAAATTGTCATTTTGTATATTGGTCATTTTTGCTATTTATATATATATATATATATATATATATATATATATATATATATATATATATATATATATATATATATATATATATATATATATCCATTGTATTTTTATGCATGGATTAAAACCATTTATACTTTTATCGCCTTGGCAATTATGATTATGGTGGTTTCCATTACATACTTTTTTAGTGCCAATTTTAGTCACACAACAGCTACAATAATTTAAAATTTTGTCAAAGCCAGTATTGAAAACAGCTTAATTGAAAGAGTTTGTTACAGAAAAATTCCTACAAGATATACCAAATAGAGAGAGCTAACACAATTGACACAACTAAGTTTCACAACCTGTTTCTGTGTCCTCTTTTGCTTTTTAAATAAAACAATCCTTATAAAAAAGTTATATTTTATTATAGCCTTAGGTTTTCAAAAACACTGGAAGAAATGTTACGCAACTGTCACCTATGTTAAAAATACTTTTATGTAAAAAATGGTCAGTGTTAAATAGACTTATCAAGACCTGTATTTTACGGTTCAGGACTGCTAGTTTTATTATAACCAAATATCAACTTATTTGATTGTATTGAAGCATACTTGATTATAAATTATTAGAAGAGTAACCTTCCCTAATATTTTGTGTTCAACCGCAGAAAAAATATTTCACTAACAAATCAAACACTGTACTAAAAGTTAATTTTCAATGAACGTTTGAATGTTGCCATGAATAGTCATATAATGTTTATTAGGAAACTGTAGTTGTG